CAAGTGATGTGAACATTAAAAAGGGAAAACTATTTTAAGATAATCCAAGGGTTACAGCTATAACTAAGAGTAATTGGCTGAAACTGAGCAAAAGAAAATTTAGGTTGACAATGAAGTGCAGGTAGCTAATGCTGAGATCTGTTAGACCGTGAAATGGAATTCGCAGAGGAAACCTCTCTGCTTTCAAATGGGCAAATCCTGCCTTTAGGAGCACTGGTGTAGATCTCTGGTGTCTGTCTCTGACTGCCTCAAAGCCCATTTCTTCCACAAAGCTTCAGCAGAATCATAAAGGTGTCTGAATTTATATCAGAAGAAGGCAAGAAGGTGTCCCTGCCCATGGCAGAGGGTTGGACTAGATATTCTTTAAGGCCCCTTCCAAACCCAACCATTCTGATTCTATGATTAAATTTAGTCAAATACATCAAAATATTGTATAAGATGAAGGAGGTCTAAAGGGATTGTGTGAACTGGAGAAATGAATTCCAGTGCTTTTCTGCCTCTGTGATCTCTGTATGTACTTGAAAACTGGGGGCAAAAAGGGAACAAAAAAAGAGAGCCTGGGCAAAATATCAAAGAAAAGAGGGCCAGTTTTGGAAATAAGATGTAGAAACATTACAGGAATTGTTGAATAAAAGAATCTCGTGTTTCAATCCGCACAGCTATTGTCAGCTTTCCTCATGGGTCTGGGCCTGCCAGCACTGGCTGCTCTTTGCCTTTCATAAAGCCTGTGCAGGCTCTGGATGCCTTCACTCATCCAGCACAACCTCGGCAGAGAGAGCTCTGTTTGAAGAGGTCTCAGACTCACTCACAAAAACCTGAATGGCCTGATTGAAGGCACTCTGTCCATCTCACTTCAAACAGCCTGTTCCTGGTCAAATGTTTGCTGGGCTGGAGTGATGCAGCTCTCACTGCAAGCCCTGATGGAATTCCTGCTGATTCAGAGGCAGAGGAGTTAACCCTTTCAAGTTCTGGGTCAAAGGAGCACTGAGGTTTGAGCCAGCCACTTCAATGCCACATCAAGGTTTTAATGTGGCCACCAATTCTCAGAATGTCAGACTTGAGCTGAGCTGGCCGGCGAGGACAGAGAGAATAGCCTGGGAGAAGCAGGATTTAAAAGATGGCAAAGAGTCAGGGGAAGCTGCAGAGATAAAAGTGAAGAGCATGGAAGCCAACGATGTGGGATAAAAGGCTTATTTCCTACTGCAGTGGAGGCAGGAGGGGCAAGGCCGAGGTCTGTGTGAAACTTCCCTGCTGCTGGGAAGAAATCATGCCAAGAATATTCACGGCTGACACACACAACATCAGAATTCCTCACTGGCTGAATCTCGGCGCAGAGATGAGTCCTGCTCCAGTCTCCACCTGTGAACGAACCCCCAGCTCACCTCAGGCACGGTGCTGCCATGCTGCCCAGGCACTTTGTCCATTCTTCTCTCCAGGAAATTATTATGGAGAAAATTATTCTCCTGAAATTGCATCCAGGCAGCAAAAGAGCTGACCAAGACAAGCCTCAGGCCAGCCAGGTTTAATACCACATCCACTAGAGAAGCCCCAAGAACCGGTCACCAGTGGTTGATGTGGGCAATACTTAAACAGGAGGACTTCCATAACATTCAGCTCCTAGTTAGAAGCTCAATATCCAAATACATTTAAAGAATTTAATTGACATTATTGTTCTGTCCTAACCCCAAAAGAAATTCATGCTTTGTGCAATTAGTAAATCCTTTCCACAGATTGCTGTGTCTTCACAGAATGGTTTGGGTTAGAAGGGACATTAATGACAAGAATTTGAGCTAACACAGATGTGGGGTTTGGGTGTGCTGAGCACCCACAGCCCCCGCTGATGTCAATGAAATGTCACAAATGCTGCAAAAGCTCCATTAAAAATGAATTCCAGTGCGGCTCTCCAATGCAGAGGTGATCCCCCGTGCCTGACTCTTCTTCACACCCTCCTGAGCTGCTGTGTGGAATCCTGAAGTGCAAAGAGGTATAAACCCCCAAAATTTCGCCCTCAGCTAATTTCAAAGCCTATTTACACAACTGGATACACAAGGATTAAGAAGTGCATTGCAGGGCAGGTTTGCTTGGTTTGGTCCTTACACAGTTCAGTGCAACCGTCAGAATAAATGACTTCTTCAGAGGAGAGAGGGAAAAAACACATTTGGTTAATCAGCTCAATATTACAGCAGTTCCCAAAGATTAAATATGCACTGCACAAACCAGCAACCCAGGAAAGGCCTTTTTACATTAGCAATTCACTTGCAAAGAATAAGATTTTGAGTAAAATACCTGTATCTTCTTCAGCACAGAAACCTGACTTCCCATGGCACCTGTAGCTCACCTGTGCCTCTCACTGGTGAATTGCTGTTATTATTCATAGAATGACAGAATGAGCAAGACTGCCTGTGCTGCAGAATCCTGGGGCATGTCCTGCCAAAACTGCCACCCAAATAGCCTTAAATTACCACCCAAACTGCCACCCAAACTGCCACCCAAACTGCCACCCAAACTGCCCCAAACTGCCCCAAACTGCCCCAAACTACCACACCAGGTCTTGCCTGTGTGCAGCTCAGCCTGACCCTCACTCCAGACTCACCTCAGCTGCTGCCACCTTGCTGAGTGGCTGAAAATCACCTTGCTCCTGAAAATAATTGCCAATTTTATCACAAGTGGCAGGGACGCTGGGCACGGAGTGCTGAGGTTTCACTGGTCTGAGTTTTCTTGCCTCGTGGTTAATGTTGCTGCCTGTCACCTGAAACCAGCAGCCCAGCTATGCTGCTTTTGTTGGAATCTCTAGTTCTTTTCCACAGAAGGTAAAAATTCCACTCCTGGGGAGATTTCTGCTCCCCTTTTGTTTTGAAACCGCGGGTTTAGGAGCTGGGAAGAAAGGGCTGCCAGCAGTGTCATTCCTGAGGGAGGAGGAGGATTTTCAAAGGGAATGGCATTTGCCTGGTGACAGGATACAAAAAGGCAGGGAGAGAATCCATGGTCTGTCCCCTGTTCTGCCAAATGACTTTACTGGACCGTACACAAGTATTTCCCTGGGACACATTCTTAAGGAAATCAAGTGTCTGAAGAGACACAGAAGTCCACAAGAGCCTTAAGACACCTGTCACCTGCTAGTTTTTATTCAAATTCCCGCATGTTTTTTGAAAGGCCATCAGGGTTTCAGCCTCCTGCACCTTTCAACTCTAAGTAGTTTTTGAGAGCTCTGAATTTTTCAAAGGTTTCAAATCTCTCCCATTCAACACTAGATTTCCAGTGATGAGGGAAGGTGGTGAAAGCAAAATGCTTTGAATGCTAAGGCTCAGGGCTGTGGAGTGCTTTCAGACCCAGTCTCTCATTTCCAGAGGAGCCAAGTGTCTGCAGTTTTGATTTCTGGCAGGACTGTGAACGCTCTGCACTTTTGAAACCCAGTGAATGCCTTGCGCCTTGGTCCTTGCTGTGCAAAGGGGAGCAGCCCCGAGGTCTGGGCTGCCTGTTTCTGCTTACAAAGCTCTGTTGTACCCATACTTGCAGCGAGGAGCTTTTCAACCCATTCATCAGCGATGAATGCACAGGAAAAGCTGTGCAGGGGTCAGACAGACGCGGGGCCATCAGCTCTGGCCATCGGGGCACCTGTCCCCTCTGTGGGGACAGCTCAGCCAAAGGCCAGCACAGCTGACTGGCCAAAGCCATTGTCCTGCTGGGGGTGAGGAAGAGGGCAGGAGGGCTGCTGGAAAGGCCAGGCCTGGAGAAAACCAAAGTCTGGGGTTTCTGAGGGGTTTTTAACCAATCTCCCCCTCGGCTCTGCTGCAGGTACAACACAGACATGCTGATGGCAGCGCTCCTGCTCCCCCTGCTCCTGGTGCCCCTCAGCCACTGCCACGAGGTGTCCTGGACATACAAAGGTGACAACGGGGCTGCTCTGGGGCTGCAGGCTCCCTTCCCTTCCCTTCCCTTCCCTTCCCTTCCCTTCCCTTCCCTTCCCTTCCCGGGTGTCCCTTAGTGAGAGATCATAGAGCAGCCAATTTATTCCACTTCAGTGGTGCCTCCGTGTCTTGAAAGTGATTCTCCTCAACGTCACCTCCTTTCACTCCTTTGTGTGGTTAGGACACATTGTCAGGGTTGGCAGCACAACGAGGTTCAGACAATGGGGGAAATCTTTAGAGTGTGTTAGAAGAAAAGCTGCCCTGTGGATGATCCTGCAAGGAAAAGCTTTAAATACTGTGTGCTTCTTGTTTTATTGTCATATCCCAGGCAGTACAGAGCACTAAGTACTTATTTTGGTATTTATACTTTTTTTGGTGAAATTTTATCTAAATTTCATTTGTGTCAGGGGTTTGTTTGCAGAGCTCACTGAAGTAAGTGTTAATCCTTTTATGATCTTCAGTGGGCTAAGTTAAAACAAAGGATATTGCTGAAGAGTTGCAATATTGCAATTGCTCTCTCCCTAGTTAAAAATAGCTAATTGCTGTCAGTTCCTGATCCCAAGCTGAGCCTTCCTGCCTATTGCCCTGATCCTATTCACTCACACTGGTTAAGAAGCCAATTCCTCACCTCTGGCAGCTGGGACCCATTTAAATCCCCATTTCCATGTGAACACCCTCGTCCTTTGGTGGGGTTCAGCCTCCAGCCTCCACCGAGCCTCTGCTGCAATGCAGGTTTCTCACTTTGCAGCCCAGCTGTCCTGCACACACAATCCTGTGCATTTCCACTCTGGGCAAGGCACAGCAGCCTGTAATGGCTGCAGCTCCTGGCGTTCCCATAATTAGATTGGCGTTCCCATAATTAGACTGGCGTTTCCTCCTGGCACACGAGGAGTGCTCTGGCTGCTGGCTGGCAGCACATCCCTGTCACCCTCCTTCCTCCCGGCAGGAGAGGGAGAGCTGGACGAGGAGCACTGGGCACAGCACTTCCCAGCCTGTGCTGGCCAGCAGCAGTCCCCCATTGACATCCAGAGGAGGAAGGTGAGGTACAACCCCAAGCTGCAGCTGGAGCTCGGCGGCTACGATGAGCCCCTGCAGGGGCAGCTCAGGATGACCAACAATGGCCACTCTGGTAAGGCTGGGGCACTGCAGGAACACATATTGTGTTTCAGCTTGGAAATGCATCCCCAGACGATGCCCTTGTTCTGAACTCGCCTTGCTTTGCCTTCTCACCTCATTCTGCTCCCTTAGGTTTGCTGTTTTCCTCTGTCAGGCAGGAAAGCTCTCCAGAAATACATAAATAAATCAGGCAAATAAAAGGCAGTTAGGTTTCTGCAAGGTATTTTCTCTGTTGGACATGAAAAGGGAATAAAATGCAGCTGGAGAATTGCAAATTGAGCCTTTCCTTTAATGTGCTGCAAGACAACAGGGGCGCAGCAGTGGGTGGTATTTGGGGCGCACTGCATTCAGACTGACTCCTCTGCTTTCAGAAAAAATGCATCTTTTGGCCTGTGCATAAATCCTGTGAAAGGAATGGAACCTCTGCATCCCAGGTTTGGTTGGATGTAGGTCACCCTGAGTACAAGACAGAGGAGGATCCCTCCCTCACCAGAGGATTGGCGTTTTGGGGCTCAGGAAAGGAAACTGAAGCACAGCACATGTTAAAAGCCCGGCCTTTGGCTACCCAGTTTCAGGGCAATGCTTATCATTTAGGAGATCCCAGATCCCCCTGCTGCAATCTGTAATTCATTGCCTAAATAATTCATCAGCTGGTGCTGTTGGGATAACGCCTTTGGACTACAGATGAGCAGTGAGAGAATTTCCTAATGGCTGCAGGGGAGAGAGGATGAGTGCTTTGGGAAGGTGATGGGAGCATAAAGCTGTCAGCTCCTGAGCCCTGCACAGCAGCTCTTCCTTCCTGCCTGCGACAAGGAGAGAGAAACCCGGGGTGAGGGCAGGGAGGAGAGTGCCAGCAGGGGAAGACTGCTGTGACTGTGCCCCTGAAAACTGAAACTCCTTTTGTGTGGCCGCACCAACTCAGCGTTCGGCCGGAGCTCTCTGTCAGCACTACTGCCCTGCCTGCCTAGACATTAATTCTTGCAGGTTTAGCTTTTTTGACCGCATGTGTGTATCTGTCCGTTCTTTTGTTAACTTCCCAACAATGCTTTTCTGATGCGGGGCAGTTTCCTAAAGCACAAAGACAAACGGCTGTGCTATTCACAGCTCCTGCGAGTCAGGCTGGGCTTTTCCACTGGCTTCAGTGAGATGGGACAGGGCAGCAGAATCTCTCAGGGAAAGCACTCAGCAGATGTGAAAGGGAAAGGGGCAGGAGAGGGATTTACAGCAGGACTCTCCTTACAGGCTCTCAGAGCCAAACCCCAAATGGGCAGCGCTGGGCAGGCAGGGTGGCCGTGCTGCTGTCCCTGCAGGCAGGCATGGCCAGGGGCCAAGCTGCAGAGCAGCAGTGCTGGGGAAGGCTCAGCTGCACTCTCCCTGCCCAGCCCAGCTGATTCTCCACCGCCTGGCAGAGCAGGAGCACTCACACTCGCCACTCACACTCGCCACTCACACTCCATGGAGCACTCACACTCCATGGAGCACTCACACTCCATGGAGCACTCACACTCGCCACTCACACTCGCCACTCACACTCCATGGAGCACTCACACTCGCCACTCACACTTCCCACTCACACTCCATGGAGCACTCACACTCCATGGAGCACTCACACTCGCCACTCACACTTCCCACTCACACTCCATGGAGCACTCACACTCCATGGAGCGCTCACACTCCCCACTCACACTCCATGGAGCACTCACACTCGCCACTCACACTCCATGGAGCACTCACACTCCATGGAGCGCTCACACTCCCCACTCACACTCCATGGATCACTCACACTCCATGGATCACTCACACTCGCCACTCACACTCCATGGAGCGCTCACACTCCCCACTCACACTCCCCACTCACACTCCATGGATCACTCACACTCCATGGAGCACTCACACTCCATGGATCACTCACACTCGCCACTCACACTCGCCACTCACACTCCATGGATCACTCACACTCCATGGAGCACTCACACTCCATGGAGCACTCACACTCGCCACTCACACTTCCCACTCACACTCCATGGAGCACTCACACTCGCCACTCACACTTCCCACTCACACTCCATGGAGCACTCACACTCCATGGAGCACTCACACTCGCCACTCACACTTCCCACTCACACTCCATGGAGCACTCACACTCGCCACTCACACTTCCCACTCACACTCCATGGAGCACTCACACTCCATGGAGCACTCACACTCCCCACTCACACTTCCCACTCACACTCCATGGAGCACTCACACTCCATGGAGCGCTCACACTCCCCACTCACACTCCATGGAGCACTCACACTCGCCACTCACACTCCATGGAGCACTCACACTCCATGGAGCGCTCACACTCCCCACTCACACTCCATGGAGCACTCACACTCCATGGATCACTCACACTCGCCACTCACACTCCATGGAGCGCTCACACTCCCCACTCACACTCCATGGAGCACTCACACTCCATGGAGCACTCACACTCCATGGATCACTCACACTCGCCACTCACACTCGCCACTCACACTCCATGGATCACTCACACTCCATGGAGCACTCACACTCCCCACTCACACTCCATGGAGCGCTCACACTCCCCACTCACACTCACACTCCCCACTCACACTCCATGGAGCGCTCACACTCCCCACTCACACTCACACTCCCCACTCACACTCACACTCCCCACTCACACTCCACGTGTGAGAAAAGCAGAAGCAAGCCAGGCTGCTCCCTGCCTTGTGCTTGCAGCAAATATTTGCCTGGAATGTCTTAGAGGAGCCTCGAGCTTGTTGCAAACTCACAGCACAATTCCCTGGCTGTGTTTTGTAGAAAGTAGAAACCCTGGTGAGGTGCTTGGAGTAAATAACCCTCGTTATGGAAGGCAGTCAGCAGGGAACTCATGAAAAAGGTAGATTGTGTTATCCCTCCCACTCTAGAGCCTTTGGGATATTAAAAGGAAACATGCTTTCGTCTTGTCTGTCTATAAACAGTTCGCAAACAAAAGAAACTCCTCAGAAACCCAAACTATGACTAATTAATAATATGTTGTGCTGCATTTTGCAAGGATAGTTGCTAGTTTTTGTTACATGCTGGGGGCTTTCATTTAGATGAGGCAATTCTCCACTTCCACTCCTAGATATATTAACATAATCTATGATTTCTGGCAGGGAATTAGCAGGAAGACAAAGGGTTTGTGACTCCTCCTTGGCAAGGAGAAGAAAAGAGGTCTGTCTTCACAAACCCTTCAGCAGCGACACAGCCTTTTCAAACCTGCAGGGCGTTCCCAGAATGGCTGGGCCTCACTGGAATTGTGATAACAGATGAGGTCACTGGCTGTGTTGATTCCTATTCCCCTTTTGTGCCTTGGATAGGAAGTGGTTAACAGACCTGTGCCAGATGTGCTGAGCCGGGTGAGCTGAGCACTGAAGCTTTCATTAGTGCCCGCTGCCAGTGCCAGAGCTCTCAGGGGGAGAAGGGATCTGCAGGCGCAGCTGGGGATGCCCAGTCCTGCTTGTGCCTGCACCAGCCTGAGCCCAGGAAAGGTTTTAAGCGCACAAAATTTTAAATTTCCCTGTTTTCCCTCCCACACCGGGGTGGTGACGGTGCCCGCTCCTTCCAGGAGGTGCCACCACAGGGATGGGCAAGGCTGCCCCCCCTGCCGCCTCCAACCCTGTCCTCCTTCAGTTCAGATCGACTTGCCGCCCACCATGAACATCTCCCGAGGGCTGCCAGGTGTGTACACAGCTGTGCAGATGCACCTGCACTGGGGAGGGCTGGACCTGGAGAGCAGCGGCTCGGAGCACACCATCGACGGCATGCGCTACTTCGCCGAGGTGCGTGGGGATCTGGGGCTCACTGGGAAAGGGGGTGCACCCCACGGGGCTGCAGGGAGGGAGGGGGAAAGCAGGGCAATGGGAAAGGGGAAAGGGGGCTGCACCCCATAGAGCCTGCAGGGAGGGAAGGGGAAAGCAGAAAGCAGGGCAATGACAGGGCTGAGTCTGATGGTGCCGGCACAGAAAACTCCAAGAAAAGCCATGGTGAGAGCACTCATATCCTTCAGAGGTGTTCCCCCTCAGTCACCACAGACCTGTTAAACCTTTTGGCCTGCTCTGAGGCACAAACAGCACAAACTGGGAGGGTGGCTGTCCCGCCAGTGTGTCCCTCTAACCATGCAGGAGCCACTCATCACTCCTTGCTGAATGACCCCCTCTCTCTCCTGGCAGCTGCACATTGTCCACTACGACTCTGCTAACTACTCCAGCTTTGAGGAGGCCAAGGACAAGCCCCAGGGGCTGGCTGTGCTGGCCTTCCTGTACACGGTAGGTGTGAGCCAGGCTGGGGCAGGGGCACTGCCTGGGCAAAACCTCCCTGAGACACGAGGTTTGTACAGCTGGCCCAGGACATGGGGTCTGGCACCTCCCTAGGGGCTGTGCTGCTTCCCCTGGGCCATCTGGGCTTCACACAGCACCAGCCAAAACCCCTTGGGAGCCCCAGAAAACTGCCCCTTAAGTAGTATTTTATATATATATATATATATATATATATATGTATGTATGTATGTATGTATAAGAATATCAGGTGGGGTTTCCCTGCTGTGCCTCCAAGCCCTGCTTTGCCAGTGGGAACACTTGGATTTTAAAGTAGTAAAAAAGAATCCTGTTCACTGTTCTGCCCCAGCTGTACAAACCTGAGCATTGTCCAGCCCATCAGGGGACCTGTGGTGGTGTTTGCTCTCTTTGTCTCCCCACAAGTGCTCAGCAGTGAGGAGGACAGGCAGGCCACACCATTGATCAAGTGTCTGTGCTGTGTTTAGGATGGGCACTTTGAGAACACCTACTACAGCGAATTCATCTCCAAACTGGCAAGGATCAGGTTTGCAGGTAAGACCTGGCAGTGCCTTCCTCTGTCCCTGAGAGCTCCCAGCCTGTGTGTGCACACTCTGGGAACTGAGCTTTTCCTGCTGCTGTGCTGGCAGAGCATCCTCAGCCCTGCACCATTTCACCCCAGGGCTGTGGGGAGGGTGCTCAGGGCTGCAATAAATGCACTCCTGGAGGTGTGTGCAGCACAAATAGCAGCTTCCTGCAGCCTGCACAGCCCCTGATGCCTCCTGGAGCACCCCAGGCACTGGCAGAGCACTGAGAGCACTGCCCAGCACCCCCAGGACCCAGACATGTCTGACTGACAGACCACAGGCCCAGAAAGGGCCTCTCGTGCCTCTCCATCTCCTCCCAGCTGCACCACAGTTCTGATGGGCCAGAGGGGTTTGCCAGCCCCAGCTCCAAGAGCACTTCCCCATTAACTGTGATACCATCTCTGCTTCCTTTGGAGGTCACTCCACAACTCTCAGCTCCCTGGACATCCAAGCCATGCTGCCAGAAAACCTCTCCCACTTCTACAGGTACCAGGGCTCCCTGACCACCCCCCCGTGCTCCGAGAGCGTCATCTGGACCATCTTCCACTCGCCCATTGTCCTGTCCCACACTCAGGTCAGTGCTGCCTCTCCCTCTGGGGGTTCCCTTTCTGCCCTCCAGGGAACACAGAGCTCTTGGGGCACCTCTCCCACAGAGCTTTGGGGTGGATTCCTGCAGTTCCAGGTGCCTGTAGTCCTGCATGGCAGCCGGGCCAGGCTGTGCAGCTGTCACCAGGCTCTGGTGACTGATCACAAAACTCTGCTCAGCAAAGCTCAGCCACCCTGGAGCACTACACAAAAGGAAGAGACCCATGAGATTAACAAGGCAAAAACTACTGCAAGAGAGTCCCCCTGAAAAAAAACCAAGCCAAAAAAAAACCACCAAAAAAGACCCATTCATAACATTAAAATAATTACAGAATAATTGGCAGATTTTAGAAGGTATTTCAGGGTTTTTCTGTGTCTAGACTCACACTGAAAGTAATGCTTTAAAGTTAATAAATAATAAAGAAGCATCAGAAACATTTTCTTCCAGGAGAAGAAAAAGATAAAACTGAGACCACAGTAGTGGGAGATCACAGTGTGCTCTCTTTGAAAAGAAATACTCTTTTTGGCAGGGGAAGGCCGGAGGGCACTTGTGAGAAAAGCACTGAATAGCAGCAGAATCTCCATCCCTGCTGTCCTCAGGCAGGAGCTCAGAACTCCCCCAGCCCTTATCATGAATTGGCTGATAAGGGCCTCAGTCCTGTCCCTTCCCCAGCTGCTGCTCAGCCAGAGACCCTGAGGATTCCTGCGTGATCCTCAGTGCAATCCCCAGCTGCAGGGTGTGCACTGCAGGTCTGGGCACAGCTGCTGTCCCTGTGCCCTCTGCCATGTCCCTGTGCCATTCTGCACTGCAGGTCTGGGCACAGCTGCTGTCCCTGTGCCCTCTGCCATGTCCCTGTGCCATTCTGCACTGCACGTCTGGGCACAGCTGCTGTCCCTGTGCCCTGTGTAATGTCCCTGTGCCCTCTGCCATGTCCCTGTGCCATTCTGCACTGCAGGTCTGGGCACAGCTGCTGTCCCCATGCCCTGTGTAATGTCCCTGTGCCCTCTGCCATGTCCCTGTGCCATTCTGCACTGCAGGTCTGGGCACAGCTGCTGTCCCCATGCCCTGTGTGATGTCCCTGTGTCATTGTGCCCTGAGTGATGTCCCCATGCCCTGTGTGATGTCCCCGTGCCCTGTTCCTGTGTGATGTCCCCGTGCCCTGTGTGATGTCCCCATGCCCTGACTGGTGTCCCCTGTCCCCGTGCCCTGTCCCTGTGTGATGTCCCCGTTCCTGTGTGATGTCCCCATGCCCTGACTGGTGTCCCCTGTCCCCGTGCCCTGTCCCTGTGTGATGTCCCCGTTCCTGTGTGATGTCCCCATGCCCTGACTGGTGTCCCCTGTCCCCGTGCCCTGTCCCTGTGTGATGTCCCCGTGCCCTGTGTGATGTCCCCATGCCCTGACTGGTGTCCCCTGTCCCCGTGCCCTGTCCCTGTGTGATGTCCCCGTCCCTGTGTGATGTCCCCATGCCCTGACTGATGTCCCCTGTCCCCGTGCCCTGTCCCTGTGTGATGTCCCCGTTCCTGTGTGATGTCCCCATGCCCTGACTGGTGTCCCCTGTCCCCGTGCCCTGTCCCTGTGTGATGTCCCCGTGCCCTGTGTGATGTCCCCATGCCCTGACTGGTGTCCCCTGTCCCCGTGCCCTGTCCCTGTGTGATGTCCCCGTTCCTGTGTGATGTCCCCATGCCCTGACTGGTGTCCCCTGTCCCCGTGCCCTGTCCCTGTGTGATGTCCCCGTTCCTGTGTGATGTCCCCATGCCCTGACTGGTGTCCCCTGTCCCCGTGCCCTGTCCCTGTGTGATGTCCCCGTTCCTGTGTGATGTCCCCATGCCCTGACTGATGTCCCCTGTCCCCGTGCCCTGTTCCTGTGTGATGTCCCCGTGCCTGTGTGACGTCCCCATGCCCTGACTGGTGTCCCCTGTCCCCGTGCCCTGTCCCTGTGTGATGTCCCCGTGCCTGTGTGATGTCCCCATGCCCTGACTGGTGTCCCCTGTCCCCGTGCCCTGTCCCTGTGTGATGTCCCCGTTCCTGTGTGATGTCCCCATGCCCTGACTGGTGTCCCCTGTCCCCGTGCCCTGTCCCTGTGTGATGTCCCCGTTCCTGTGTGATGTCCCCATGCCCTGACTGGTGTCCCCTGTCCCCGTGCCCTGTCCCTGTGCCGTGGCAGGTGCAGCTGCTGGAGAACACGCTGCTGGACCGGCACAACCGCACCCTGCGCAACGATTACCGGCACGCGCAGCCGCTGCGGGGCCGCGTGGTGGAGGCGTCCTTCCGAGCCCAGCGGGGCCAGGGTAGGGCCAGGGGACGCTGGGGGAGGGTGTGGCACTGCCGGGCCCTGTGCTCGGCCGGGCTGGAGTGCCCTGGCTGGGAGGGCAGTGTCCCTGCCCGGGCGGAGCTGTCCCTGTGCCTCCCCTGGTGTGAGGCGTGTGCCAGCCCTGCCCTGCGAGTGTCACACCTCCAGGGCAGCTGGTGCCACCTGGCACCACGTCAGGGGCCTCAGCTCAGCTGTGCCTGGTGCATGGAGCTGCAGGAACAGCTCTGGCTGGGCAGCCACACCGAGGAGAGGAGCTGCAGTTTGAAGCACAGCTTCTGCTGCAGCTGGAAAATGCAGCTTGTGCAGGTGCCAGCCCCCTGTAAGTGCAGCTCTCTGATTGCTCCAGCACAGTGTGATCCAGAGGAATTCACCCTCAGGCTGGACCAAATCCAGATGCAGCTCCAGGACATGAAGAGAGAGTTGCTGAATGGACTGAGCCACACAGGTAAGACACAGGTTGAGGCCCCTCACCTTGTGAGGATGGAGAGCCCTGCTGAGCTTGGTGGCCCAAACCATTGACAGCTTTGGCACACCCAGGTAGAATTCTGTGCCATATCTGGGCCTGCTGATGGAAAGCCTTCACCATCATCAAGGCCAGCCCTAAGCCAGCTTCTCCCACAGCAGCTGCAGCTCTCTCCTGCCACGTGGGAGCACATTTTTACAAACAGTAAAAATGCTCAGCTCAGTTCCCCCAGGATAAATAACCCTCACCTCTATTTTATACAACATGAGAAAAGGGAGGAAAGAGGGAAAATCATTTTTTGCCCAAATGTTTGTGTGGGGGAGCTCAGCTCAGCTTTTCGTCATTCCAAAGCCCTTCCCTGCTGGCACAACACACAGCATAGCTGGGAGCTCAGACCGCACAGCCCTACCAGCTCTGTGGGTGCCATCCTGCAGAATTTGGGCTGCTTTACAGGAAATGCGACTGCTGCCTTTTGGGTTATTTCAGATACCAAATCCAGCACCTTTCCAGCTTTCTACTTCCCCGTGGAGAACGTCGAGAGCTTTGTGGAGGTGCACCCGCTCCGTGCCGTGTCCCTGCAGGCCTTCACGCTGTGCTTCTGGAGCAAAGCCCAGCCCCAGGGCAGCCAGACCGTGCTGTCCTACTCCACTGGGGAGAGCGAGCACGAGCTGGAGGTGACCGTGGGCTCCGAGCTGGGGCTCTGGCTGGGAGGGCGCTTCCTCAGCTTCCCCCTGCAGCCCGGGGCGCAGGGCTGGCTGCACCAGGGCTGGCTGCACCACTGCCTCACCTGGGCGGCCCCAGAGGGAGCGGCCACGCTCTGGCTCAACGGGGCTGCTGGCAAAGCCAGGAGCATCCAGAGGGGCTACGAGAGCCGGGCTGGGGGCTCGCTGCTGCTCGGCAAGGCCAGGGACCCTCTGCTGGGCACGTTCTCCAATGGCTTTGCGGGCTGGCTGAGCCAGCTGCACCTGTGGAGCAGGGTGCTCGGTGCCGCCGAGGTTCGGGCGCTGGCGCTGTGCAGGGCGGGGCAGCCCGCGGGGGATGTCATAGCCTGGGGACAGACCCCCATGGCCCTGCTCGGGGGGGTCCTTCTGCAGCCCGACTCCAGCTGCCAGTGAGCGCAGCCCGGTCTCGGGGCGTCCAGGCAGCCCCGGCTGCGGGCTGGGGAGCGCAGAAAGGCTGAGCTGGTTTGCTCGTTTCCCCTCCCGCTCTGTAGGCTCGCTATGCACCTCCTGGCGCTCCAGGGTGTTTTCCCAAGAGACCAAAACCTCCATCCGTGAGATAAAAGCAATGAACTGCAGAATCTAGCACAGTCCAGCACCCTGAGTTGTTACATCTCTCCAGGGGGTTGATTTACATCTCCATATACAGATTTTTTTTCATGCCAAAGAGCTGCTCTCTGCTCAAAGGAGCTGCTTTCTCAAATAAAATTTGTCTCTCATCCCTCACCCGGTCTCAGTTTCTCACCATCCTCCCTGCTTGTCTCTCCTTCTGTCACCACCAACTCAGCCCCCCTTCCCTTGCAGTCACATCCCACAGGATAGCAGATATGGAGATGTGGCAGGGCAGGTCCCAGGACAGGTCCTGTGCACTCCCTGTGCCCTGGCCTGTGGCACAACTTTGCCTTCTTTTCTGTAGTGGATGCAGAGACAGAGCATGGAAACAGCTCCTTTTCCAACACTCATATATCACAAACTTGAGCACAGGTATATTGCAGCTATAAACTGATTTGCTAAGGTTAAAGTAAATCCTGTGAAGGATTCTCCATCTACTACACAAGATCCGTACCAGGCTGCTCAACAGTTCTGCTTTTGTCAGAACAGAGGGCAGCACACTGACATACCAAATGGAATTTAATTTCCCTTGCTGGACCCTCAAACACACCAGTGACAGTTCCTCAGAGGAGTTTAGGGCTCTCCTGCCCCACAGCCAGGCCAAGGGCTGCCTTGTGTCCCCTGGGTGTGCCACCAGGACACCAGGGACACTCATCAGCTCCTTGGTCACAGACTGAGCTGGCTGAGGACATTTCCTTTTCCTTGGAACAAGAGGAGGATTTGGCAGCGTTAGGTTTGCAGTTGGATTTGATGTTAAATGTCTTTTCCAGCCTTAACAGTTCTGTGATTGTCAGATCAGCATCAAAGGAGGAATCCCTGGATTTGTTTTCCTGCTGAACAGATCCTGTCAGGCCAAACACAGCTGGCTCACATCTCAGTGCTGGAGAGCGATTTCTTCTCTTCCTGCCTGCTCAGGGGGTAGGAATCTTTAGGCTCTTGGCTTTCCTGAACCTCCACTTTGTTCCTCTTGGCCATGATCCTGTTGATTTCCATGAAGGTTTTATTCTTGGTCTCGGGAACGATGAAGAAGATGTAGAGCAGGGTGGCGACACAGATGGCGCAGAAGATGAGGAAGCTGTAGGGCCCCAGCCCAGCCTAGGGCAGGGACAGGAGAGAGCAGGGGTCAGGGCACATTGCAGCTGGGAATGCCTGCCCTGGCCCTGCCTGTGGAAATGCTGTCAAAATCCTGTCTTTAGAATCCCAACATTCCAGCTGGGAATGCCTGCCCTGGCCCTGCCCTGCCCTGCAGGAAATGCTGCCACGGTGAGGTGTTGTGTTTTAGCCTGAACAACCCAAAGCTGGGGAGGTTTTAGATTCTGTATTCTCCAACCAGCACATGGGGTTCATTGGGAACTCACTGGGAAAGGAAGCTGAGAGTCTGCTCTGTAACTCACACAAAGCTCAGCAGCTGCCTCTGCCCTGGGTGAAGTCAGGGCCTGCAGCAGTTTGTGGTCCCTGCTGTGGGGGCAGTTTAACTGGACATCCAGATTTCAGGACATACGACTGTCCCTTCAAGGCACATCCTGCAGGGGAAGATGGGGAATTTGCCATCTTTTCCAAGCTCCTGAGCTCAGGATGAGACCTGGCAATCAAACCGCTTTCTTTTAAAGCCTGTGCAACAGGCAGGTGTGGTGAGACAGTGCTGAGCAGCATCAGTGTCCTGCCCATGCCACATCCCACCCAGGGGATTTGGGAACCAGCAAACGCATCCACACTCCCCAGAGCCTCTCTGCAAGAGCACAGGGGTGAGGAGGCCCGAGCCCTGGGTTCTTACCTCCATGTAGAGGAAGAGCAGCCCCACGGTGAAGTTGCTGAGCCAGTGCACAGAGCCGCCCACCATGAACGCCGCGGGCCGCGACGACTGCAGGAACATCTCGGTGATCATCACGGCAGGGATGGGACCTGCAGGGCAGCTGCAGCTGAGGCACCCCTCAGGGAGTCCCCTCACCCTGAATTCCTGATTACACTGCTCATCTCAGTGGTTTCAGCCATCAGCGAATCAAACAAGGATTCAATTTAAAGGAAAAAACGGGGCAATGAAATGGCTTGCACAGGGCATGGCCACACAGAGGTGAAACTGAGCCCCCCTGGATGAGCCCCACAAAGGTTTTGGTTGGACACTGAAGGCAGCACCTGGCTTTACCCGGCTCCTGGGGAGGCTGTGGGCACTTACTGGGTCCGATGGCGTGTCCAATGATGTAGGCAATGACACAGACGATGCTGAGGTAGGACATCCAGGACACAGAGCTCTGCGAGGATGGAAGCACAGCTTGGGGTGGCTGAACGTGCCCTGCACGCTCAGGGAGCTGCTCACAGTGAGGTCTGGGTGCATTCCAGGGCAGGGCCACCCTTCAGTGCCAGGATCAGGCACAGAAATCACGGGGGGGACCAGCTGAGCCATCATACACACCTGGAGGTTGAGGGCCAGGGTCAGGACTGCACAGGAGGCAGAGCACAGCACAAAGCCAGCCAGGAGGAGGATCCTCCTCCCCAGGGACTCCACGATGAAAACCTGGGAGAGACAGGAGAGGGCAGGCAGCAGGGGCTCAGCAATTGCTGCAGATGCTTTTGGCCAAGGGACACCACAGGGCATCTGTCACGGAAAACACCTCCCAGAGCGTGCAAATAACACTCCAGTGCAAGGTTTGTGGGATGAGATGATCTCTAAGGTCCCTTCCAACCCAAACCATTGGATTGGAAGGATTCCGTGAGCACAACCTAATTTAAACAGGGGCAGGGGAGAGCTCAGAGAGCCCCAGCACAAACTTACAGCCAGCAGAGTCATGACCACGTTGATGGCACCTATTGACACGGTGACATACTGGATGCTGCTGCTGTGCACCCCTGCTGCCTCGAAGATCCTGTCTGCATAGTAGAAAACCTGCAGCAGAACCCCAGCACAGTTACTGCATGGCCCGAGGCAGGGCAAGGGGACTGCTTTAAATGCTGGCACTGGTGCACTGAGGCCCCAGGATGGAATCTGTCCGTCTGCCTGGGATCTGGGCACTTTGCTCCAGAAACACTCCAGTGATCATTAACAGGGCGCTGAGCCTGCACCTTGTCCTGGCTTTGGAACTGGCCAGGCCTGACCCAACCCTGTGGGACACTGGGCATGTCCTGGGTGAAGGGGCACTGCCGGGGGTCTGCCCTGTGCCAGCACTGCCCTGTGCCAGCACTGCCCCGTGCCGGCACTGCCCTGTGCCAGCACTGCCCCCAGCACTGCCCCCAGCACTGCCCTGTGCCAGCACTGCCTCCAGCACTGCCCTGTGCCAGCACTGCCCCGTGCCAGCATTGCCCCCAGCACTGCCCCGTGCCAGCATTGCCCCCAGCACTGCCCTGTGCCAGCACTGCCCTGTGCCAGCATTGCCCTGTGCCAGCACTGCCCCCAGCACTGCCCTGTACCAGCACTGCCCCCAGACCTCTCTGAAATTCCAGCCCCTGTTTGTGCCCCCAGCCCCTGTTTGTGCCCCCAGCCCCTGTCTGTGCCCTCCCCACTCACCCCGTTGACCCCCGAGAGCTGCTGCCCTGCCATCATGACGATGATGGAGATGAGCTGCCACCTGAGGCCCCTGAAGGTGAACAGGCTGAGCACAGAGAACTGCCCCTCCTCCTTCTCGGAGCGATCCTCCTGGTACATCTCCTGAATTTCCTCATCCACGTCCTGCCAGCCCCTCAGCCTCTGCAGAGCTGGTGGGGAGAGCACAGCGAGCTGGGAGCCCCAGGGCTGCAGAGCTGTGCTGCTCCAGGGTGGGCACCTGGGCATCCGTGCTGGGCACCTGGGCATCCCCACACCCAGGGAAGGAGCGGTGTCCCGAGAATTCCACCCCCAGCCGTGGAGAATTTCCCACCCTCTGCTGCTGCCAGCCCATCCCACAGCCAGATCCATCCCCTCCCAGCTCCTTCTCCATCCCACAGCCAGATCCATCCCCTGCCAGCTCCTTCTCCATCCCACAGCCAGCCCCATCCCCCCCCAGCTCCTTCTCCATCCCACAGCCAGATCCATCCCCCCCCAGCTCCTTCTCCATCCCACAGCCAGATCCATCCCCCCCCAGCTCCTTCTCCATCCCACAGCCAGATCCATCCCCTGCCAGCTCCTTCTCCATCCCACAGCCAGCCCCATCCCCTCCCAGCTCCTTCTCCATCCCACAGCCAGATCCATCCCCCCCCAGCTCCTTCTCCATCCCACAGCCAGCCCCATCCCCTCCCAGCTCCTTCTCCATCCCACAGCCAGATCCATCCCCCCCCAGCTCCTTCTCCATCCCACAGCCAGATCCATCCCCTCCCAGCTCCTTCTCCATCCCACAGCCAGCCCCATCCCCTCCCAGCTCCTTTCCCATCCCACAGCCAGATCCATCCCCTCCCAGCTCCCTTTTCCCACCCTTGTGGTGCTGCCAGCCCGCCCCACAGCCAGACCCATGCCCTGGCAGCCCCCTGGCATGGCAGCCCCATGCCCTGGCATGGCAGCAGGGCACAGGGCGGGGCTGTACCTGTCCGTGCCTGCTCCTCGGAGCCCCTTTGGATGAGCAGGTACCTGGGGCTCTCGGGGAAGAGGGGCAGTGCCAGGAGCTGGAGCAGGGACGGGATCCCGGTGAGCCCCAGCAGCACAGGCCACCCTGCAGCAAGGTCACAGCAATCAGAGAGGGAAACCCTCACCCTGGGCAGCCTGGAGAGGGCCTGGGCCGCAGCTTTACCTCTGGCATTGCCGAGGATGCCGTGCAGCCCCAGGATCTGAGCTGCGAGGATGCCTATGGTGATGAAGAGCTGTGGCACCACCCCCACAGCTCCCCTCAGGTTCTTGGGGGACATTTCTCCGAGGAACATGGGAACCACGTTGGAAGCCAGGCCTAGAAGTCAAGAGTTGTACAAAAGGATTGGTTTTTACATTGACCAGTTACTGAATCAAGTGCATGAACACATTGGAAATTCAACTGGGGGCTCCTTTTCCTGGCAGACTACTTCCAGAACGAGCTTGCAGACTGAAGCTGACTCTTTTGCTCTCTTTTTGTTTCTTTCCTATTTTCTTGGCTTCTTTGCCACTACCAAGACAAACTGGGAGCAGTGTCAGACACGCAGCTCAGCCTTCAGCCAGCTGCTGACTGCCCACGGGCCACAAAAGAGATCCCTGAAGAACCACAGAAACTTCACAGCCAAACCCTTCTGCTCTGAGTGCCTGGGTTATCAGCTCTGGGCAGCAAAGCACTTGTGGAGCCTGACAGGATTCGCCTGCCTTGCCTGCAGAGCCAGCAGATATTTGGGGGTGTCTTGGTTTGAGGGTTCAGTGTTCATCCCCCCGAACGCAGCTTCCCCCAGCAGGCTCTGCCAGGAGCAGCACAAGGCACACAAAGAAAAGCTGTGCTGCTCCAGCTTTGGAAACTAACTCCAAATACCAGAGAGGAACCTTTTGCTTCCTCTGAAGCAAGAAGAGAAACCAGCACCCAGACAGGCTGCTGTGAAAGTGGAAGGAAATGGCTCTGTGTTGGATTTAGAACTTCCCTGCTTGGTGAGGCCGTGCTGAGGGCTCTGCTGGCCTGTGATGCCTTGCAGGTGGCCTGCTGGAATGGGTGTTCATGCTCTAATAAGGGCACCAGGGACTCGGGGTATTTTTAGGAACATTCTAGGGCTGCCCACAGTGACCCCAGGCAGCCCCTGCGCTGCCAATCCTGCAGCTCCCAAACTGCTGGGATCAAATGACCACAGGCAACTCTCATCTGACCTTTCTAGAGCCCCTGGGCTGCAGGAGCCAAAGGTGATCAGGCTGGTATTTGAAAGCTGAAAGGCCTAAATGTCGCAGACATCTTCTTATGAAAATCCTTTCTTAGGATTTTTTCTTCTTGAGAAGCTGAGAATCTCCAGGAACAAAATGTAAACATTGGTTATCTGCTGCTGTGGAATGCAACAGGTAAATCTGTGATTGGTCTTGTGTGGATGTTTGGATTTGGTGACCAGTCACAGCAGAGCTGGCTCTCTCTCTGTCTGAGCCAGCTGCCTTTGTTATCATTCTATTCTATTCTATTCTATTCTATTCTATTCTATTCTATTCTATTCTATTCTATTCTATTCCATTCCATTCCATTCCATTCCACTCCATTCTTAGCTTAGCCAGCCTTCTGAGATGAACTTTTCCCTTCTATTCTTTTTACTATAGTTATAATGTAATATATATATATATATCATAAAACAATAAATCAAACCTTCTAAAGCATAGAGTCAACATTCTCGTCTCTCCCCTCACCCTGTGACCACTGTCACACCTGAAAGGCACAGAAACCAGAGCCACCAGTGCCAGGGGGTGCCAGCCCTGGGTCCTCCCAGCGCCAGTTCAGGCCAGGCCAGCCGAGAAGGACGAGCCAGGGCAGCCAGGCTGGATTTGTGGGTTATAAATAACTGCAGAGAGGGATCACATTTAACAGGACCCTTAGCATTTATCCCAAGCTCCGTGCTGAGGGCAGCTGCCAGGTTTGAGGGAGTCAAAAGCCAGGGTAAAACCTTTGGATTAAAAAAAAAAAAAAAAAGGAAAACAAGAAACTGGCTCAGGAAAGCAAATTGATCTGTGCATGCAGCAATTACAATTGGCCAGCTAAGGCAGGAATTTTGTTTTCACAAGCCAGCCCAGCTCATTAACAAACCATGGAGTGTGCCAGCCTCACCAGCCCAAAGCCAATTAATTGAACCTAAAAGCTCTTAGGACCCTTACAGGCCTGGCTGTGCTCAGGGCACCCAGCACGGTTCTGTCCTGTTCCTGCAGCTCCAGCGCTGCCAATCCAGCAGGAACACACAGATATCCTTGATTCCCTCCCTCTGCAGGAAACCCAGGGGCTCTGAGCCCTTTGCTCTCCCTTTTAACATTTCTTTTCTGCTGCAGGAAGAACAGCCAGTTCCAGGGCTGGATTATTGGATCTGGCAATGCTTTTGATGGATTGTTCTGGTTCTGTTAAAAAGGAAAGGAGCAGACTATCCGCTCCAAGTTGTCTGGGAAAACAGATTATCCCCAGCAGGTTTGGAGCTGCAGTGCCCAGCAGATGTTTATTGCTGCACTTACAGACACACATCTCCTCCCTGCAGCTCAGATTCCAGCCCCATTATCTCCCAAAGATCTTCAGTCCTTCTGCACCAGGCTAAAGTGCAGCCTTGTCATGCAGATCCCAAAGTGAGATACCTGTGAGAGCATCTGCTGGGGGAATAAAACCTCTTTACACAGCCAAGGAAATATTTACTGCTCCCCCTTTACCGCCCACTTACCAGCAAATACCCCCATGAGAACACGCGAGAGGATGATCACCTCAAAGCTTTTTGCCAGCTCTGAGGTCCCCATGAGGATGGCAGCAGCGATGGAGAAGAGGTTATTTATCAGCAAAGTGCCCTTTCTGCAAGGGAACAGCAGGAGAGAGGATCCAGCTGGGCATTGCTGAGCTGCACAAAGATCCCCTCTGTCCAAAACTCAATTAAACATCGTGCCAAACACGGCTCAAGGAGCAAATGGCAATGGCCACGTTTTTCCTGCAGGCAATGAAGGCCTCCAGAACAAAAGGAAGTTTCTCAGGAAGCCTGAGCAGCAAAACCTGGGTCTGATCTGACCCCAGGACTTTATTTCGCCACTGGCTCCATGCCTTGCCCACACCAGAACCCCATAAATCCCTTCCCAATGGGGGACAGCCCTTGGGGCTGAGCCCAGCCCACACCAGAACCCCATAAATCCCTTCCCAATGGGCAGATAATCCTTATGGCTGAGCCCAGCTCACAGCCCAGGCCATAGCAGAACCCCACAAATCCCTTCCCAATGGGGACAGCCCTCGTGCCTGAGCCCAGCTGCTCTCCATCATCCCACCTCCATCTGCCCCAAGGTGTGGGAGGGAATTTCAGGCAGCTGAAGGGCTGGGCAAGGTGGGGTCCCCACCAACGTTGCCTCTCCCAAAGGAGGGCAGGGCCTCTCACCCACCTGCCGCACTTGTTGACCATGGGCCACACCAGGAGTGACCCAAAGAGGCCGCCCAGGGGGAACATGGACACTGTGAGTGACCAGAGCAGGGTCTGGAAGCCCCTGGCCATGGGCAGCCCTGTCCTCTCCAGGTGGGTGCTGTTGTAGAAGCCCTGCATGTACTGGAAGGAAGCACAGAGCAGATTTGGCACAGAGGGACAACCCCTGTGCTGGGAGGGTGAGATAACAGCAGCTCAGGGCCATAAAGCTCTGCCATAAAACCCTGCCATAAAACAACTGCCCTGAGGAAAAATGGGATGGCTGAGCCGGGAATGAGTGCAAGGGAGGGATGGAGGAGCCTGGGGAGGAGGAGGAGGATGGAGAAGCCTGGGGAGGAGGAAGATGGAAAGCCTGGGATGAAGGAGGATGGAAAGCCTGGGGAGGAGGATGGAGGAGCCTGGAAGAAGGAAGAGGAGGATGGAGAAGCCTGGGATGAAGGAGGAGGATGAGGATGGAGAAGCCTGGGCAGGAGGATGAGGATGGAGGAGGAAGATGAAAAGCCTGTGTTGCTGCCCTGGAGGATGTGCCTGGTTGCCAGAGCTGTGTCCCAGGTACACAGAGAGAGCACAAGCCCCCCACAAACCCCTCCAAATAATTTTTCATAATTATTTTCCAAATAATTCAATGAATTGAATTGCCATAACCCCAGCCCTGCCTGGTGCCCTCGCCCACTCACCGGGGCAGGGGAGTTGATCACAGACACGTTGTAGCCGTACTGGAAGGAAGAGCCAAAGGCAGAAATCAGAGCCACCAGGGCCAGGGGCAGCGTCATCTTCTGCAGAGGGAGAGAAGAACCATCAGCACGCCCTTGGAAGCGGCTCTTAGGCATTAACAACACCCAGTAAAAACAATGAAATACACCAAGTCTTGCTTTCTGTGTTTTCCCTTCATTTTGCTGCATTTAAAGCCCAATGGGTTGTTTCCATTACAGCTCATTTTGTTCTGCTTGATATGCCCACAGCCATTAGAGTAACTCACTCTGCTTTGCTGCTATTGATGAATCATTTGGATGATTAATTTTTTTCCAAGTTACCATTCTTAAAACACCCCCCTGCAGGGAACAAGGTTTATGCAATTATCCTTTTCCAATGCGCAAATTGGGCAGTGCGATAACGCGGGATATTGGCACAGGAAAGCTTTAATAAGAAGTGATTTTTGCATTAAGTGGCCAAATCCCTTTCCTGTTGGTTTTCTCTTCCTCTGCATTTTGGGATAGAGCTATTTATGGATCCAACTGATCGCCACTGAAGCCAATTAGGATTTATCCAGGCAACCGCCAGGGCTTGCTGAGGGCACGGGAGCTGCACTTTGCCCTGGGACAGGGGAGGGAATTGCCATCTGAGCAGGATCGGCGCCCCGAGGTGGGCACACATTCCCCAGGCTCACAAACCGCCAGAGCAATTCCCTTTTCCCAGCAGTTCAGCTGCAGCCCAGCCCCGGGCTGTGTTGACAGAGCTGCGTTGTTGGGGTTTCTCTGGCTGGGTTTTACAGCTCACTAATGCATCTCGCTGCTGCTGCATCGATAAAGCCATTTTTCATTTTAATCTCGTTGGCTGCCACCCTCTCCAGCCCTAATGGCCTTGATGGCTGCCAGGATTTCTGTCCCAGCTCTCAGCTCGGGTCCCACACGAGTTCTCTGTCCCTTCCCTCATTCCCTCATTGAACATTTGTCCAAATCGCTGCTGGAGCTCCTTTCTGTCCCTCAGCATCCCTGGCAGCCCAGCTCCAGGGACCTGCAGGGTTTAAGGTGTCACAGGAGATCAAAATTCAGGTCTGGAAGGAGGCTCAGGCTCCCAGGTCCATTTTCTGGGAGGAGGCTGCTGACATTCCCTCATGGGTGAAGGAAAGCAGCTGCCCTGCTCTCATTAACCAGATCCCAGGAGCTCACAAGAGCCACGGGCGTAAATCATTGACATCCAGCACTGCCAGGGAAACCTCTGGCACTCCCCAGCAGTGCTTTGGGCAAGACTCCTCTTTGGGAAAGGCAACCCCGTCCAGGAGCATCTGCAGCAAAAACTGATCGGGAAATAGGAAAGAAAACTCAAACACAGAAGGGGAAAGTCCCACAGAAGGGGAAAGTGACACAGAAGGAAAAGTGACGCAGAAAGGAAAAGTCCCACAGGAGTTATGGGGTGGGAGAGCTGCAATCAATCACTCAGTGCAGCACTGCAGACAGACACAAACTGGGCACAAGAACAGAAACACCTCAGCCCAAAATCAGGGTCTTTCCTCTCTTCCAGGTCCCCCAGGTGTCCCCGTGTCCCTGGGGACAGGCAGGCACCATACTCACCCCCCTGGCACCCTGGGTGCCCTCGCGGCTGTCCCGCTTCCCTCCTTTCATGCTGCTGGGTGCGTGGATCACAGATGCTGAGCGCAGCTTCTCCAGCAGCCACGGGGAGCATGGGACTGCCCTGCACAGAGAAACCCTCCTGTGACCCTCCCAAACACACACTGCCAGGGGTCTGGCACTGATCGATCATCCCCTTCCCCTGCCTGAGTCCCCACGGCTGCAACTTCATTCTCTCCCAGCTCTGGTACCAGTGACAGATGTTCTTCCACCAGATGCTGTCCCAGACAGAGGTGGTGCCCAGGGAGAGGGGCACAGGCTCATCTCTGCAGGGAGAAGGGGCGGACCTTCCCCAAAGCTGACAAAATGAGCCAATTTCCCCCATATCTGTGCATGGCCAAGCAGAGCCCCTGGAGCTGCAGCAGCTGGGCTGGCACAGCCAGAGGTGCTGCCCAGCAGTTGTGGCACCAGGGAGCTGCAGCTGAGCCCCACCACCCTCCCTGCAGACAAACTGCACAGATCTGCCCCAAACGCTGCTCCTGCCCTACCTTGCAGCCCAGCCGGCTCAGGCAGCACTGCAGCCCCCAGGGCTCATCCTCCCAGAGCTGTTCTCGGCTGTCCCCTCCAAAGCAGCTCCTTCCCCTCTCCAGGCAGGCGCTGCTGCCTCTCCTCTGTTGTGGGATGGCTTTGGAGCCGGGTTAATCATCCACTACAGCCCCGAGTTTATCAGGGAAACGCTCACGGGCATTCCCAGCAGCAGGACGGACCAGAACAGAGCCTGCTGCGTCGCTGCTCTCTGTTTTTGTTGGGCAGTCAGAAAAAGGCGCCTCTTGAGCAACTCCTGCCGTGCTCCACGTGCCCTGCACAGCCCCTGGCACCTCCTGCTCCACGTGGCAGCAGCATGGCCCGAGCAGGGCCAGGGCAGAGCCTGCTGCTCCCACTGAGCAGCAATTCAGCGCCCAGCCCCGCTGGATTTTCTCCTTTGCTCCATTTCTTTCCAGTGAAGAGCCTGAAGATGCTGTGCCCAGGTGTTCCCAAATCAGAGGGTTTTGAGAAGGTGGTTAAAAAGGCAGGCTTCTGACAGCAGGTTGGTGAGCATTGCTAATGCAGCGAAAACTTTTCTGAGCGGTAGAGCAGACGCGAGAAACAGCACAATGGACTTCTGTAATGCGTCTTCGTAGATTGCAACAAGGTTATTTAATGTGTATCTTTAAAAGGTTAGTGTGAATGGGTCTCTGTGCTTCGTCTCTCATGAACGAGCCATTGTGTTAACTATCATTACGTGTGTTCCATATGATTAGATAGCATTTTTGTCAATGTGTTTTGCTGTGTGTGTGATTGGCTGAAACCTAAGCTGAGATGGCTTTATGCTGTGCTGTAGTGCAACACCCCCTTGGCATTCCCTTTGGATCAGAGAGCTGTTAACATCCTGTCTCCATTGTCCTAGCAATGCACTGAGACGGATGTGCTGAACAAACAGCTCACGACACCGGTTCACATTTGCCCTGTCTCATTCAGGAGTGTATACAGCTTGCCATGGCAGGGATCAGCTCCTGCTGCCCTCACCTTCACAGATCCTCAGCCAAGAGGGAAAATTCTGCCCCAGAATAGGGGAAACTGCAAAAAGGGCAAATTTCCACTCCTTCAAAGGCAGTGTCACCCTCTGGGAGCTCTGACAGCTGCTCTGACACCCAGTAAATGCAGGGAAGGAGAATTCTCTATCATGGTCTTTAAGCTCTGCTCCTGAACTTGAAGAAATAATCTTGAAAACACGCAGGAATCAAAGAGATCACATGCGTTTGTCATCAGAACCCCTTCATCACAGCAAATATTTGCTTGTGGCAGCAGAAGAGTTGGAATATTTTCTGAACACAGCAGGAGCGTGGCAGGAACATCTCTGTGGTTGTCATTGGCACGGGGATGATCCTGGAGGAGCTTGGGGAAGGGAGACAGGGCAGTAAATCAAACTCTTGGATTTTCAAAGCACTGCAGGGCTGTGACACCTCCAGCAGCCGGGATCCTGTTGGACTTGGCAAAGGGCAGGGCCAGGAACCAGCAAAGAGCTGATTTTACAGCATTTACCAGCACGTTTTCCATCTCAGCTGCAGCGCATCCCAAGGTTTTACATCTGCTCCTCACCCCTGTGTGCCTGGAGATGTTCAATGCTCCCCATGACTCCCCTGCCCTCACCCAGCCCCTGGTGTGCGGGGATTTATTTACCCTCACCTGATGATTTATTCACCCTCACCTGATGATTTATTTATCCACACCATGTGTGCTCAAGGCTGGGTCCTATGAAACCCTGATATCTTTGGGGGGAGAAAAAAATGATTAAGAGGCCAAACTCAGTTTTCAGGACAGTAAAAGTGCCGGAGAAGGCTCTGCAGGGAACAGCAGCGGAGCTGGGCTCTGGAGCCAGAACCAGAACCAGAGCAGATCCTGTTTGTGCTGCACAAATGCAACGCTGGGCACTGTCCCGGTAAAGAAACTGACCTTTATTTCATAAAACTCGGAGAAAATACTTTAAAAAACACAAGCAAAGAGCTGTGAATGAGGTAAAACATCATCTCCAAATGGCGCACACAGCCCCAGCCCCTGCCCAGCGTGATCCAAGGCACAGACCAAGCCCAGGGGCTGAGCTGTGAGCCAGGCATTGCCCTGCTGCGGGCAGGGCTGTCCCTGCTGGAGCCTGAGCACATCCCACATCCCCGGGGAGCCACAGGGCTCTGGTTCCCTCAGGAGAGCCCCAAAACCCCAATGGTGACAGCCCCAAACACCAGGGAGGAGGGATCAGCATCCCCAAAACGCCAATGGTGACAGCCCCTAAATACCCAGGAGGAGGGATCAGCATCCCCAAAACCCCAATAGTGAATCAGCATCCCCAAAACCCCAATGGTGACAGCCCCCAAACAAACACCAGGGAGGAGGTTCAGCATCCGGAGGCGCCGTCCAGCAGCACCACAGATTAATCCCTGTCCTGTCCCAGTCCAAGAGCAGAGCAGAGCCAGGCTGGGGCTCCCGGGGCTCTCACCACACTGAGGGCCCTGCCCAGCTCAGTCCTTCAGCAGCTCCTGGAGCCTCCTGGTTTGGCTCTGTGCACCTCAGAACTCACCACAGCAGCCTGGGCGGGCAGAAAAGCGAGACCCAGCCGAGGGTTCAGCTTCCCGGCGGGAAGGAGGGGAGACAAACGGGAGGGCAGCGTGCTGCAGAGCATCCCGACACAGCCCAGCAGCTCCGGGACCGGGCAGGGCTCAGCATCTCCAGCGCCGCTTTCCCCGGGCTGCAGCTCCCTCTGGGGGGCTGGCACAGCACCCTGCAGGGACAGGGACAGGACAGGGACAGTCACTGCAGGGACAGGGACAGGACAGGGACAGTCACTGCAGGGCTGGCACAGCACCCTGCAGGGACAGGGACAGGACAGGGACAGTCACTGCAGGGACAGGGACAGGACAGGGACAGTCACTGCAGGGCTGGCACAGCACCCTGCAGGGACAGGGACAGGACAGGGACAGTCACTGCAGGGACAGGGACAGGACAGGGACAGTCACTGCAGGGCTGGCACAGCACCCAAACCTGCACAGAACAGTGACAGTCACTGCAGGACAGTGACAGGACCCTGCACCTGCACAGAACAGTGACAGGACAGTGACAGTCACTGCAGGGCTGTGCCAGCACCCTAAACCTGCAGGGACAGGGACAGGACAGGGACAGTCACTGCAGGGCTGTGCCAGCACCCCAAACCTGCAGGAACAGTGACAGAACAGTGACAGTCACTACAGGACAGTGACAGTCACTGCAGGGCTGTGCCACCACCCCAGGGACAGTGACAGTCACTGCAGGGCTGTGCCAGCACCCCAAACCTGCAGGGACAGTGACAGAACAGTGACAGTCACTGCAGGACAGTGACAGTCACTGCAGGGCTGTGCCACCACCCCAGGGACAGTGACAGTCACTGCAGGGCTGTGCCAGCACCCCAAACCTGCAGGGACAGTGACAGAACAGTGACAGTCACTGCAGGACAGTGACAGTCACTGCAGGGCTGTGCCACCACCCCAGGGACAGTGACAGTCACTGCAGGGCTGTGCCAGCACCCCAAACCTGCAGGGACAGTGACAGAACAGTGACAGTCACTGCAGGACAGTGACAGTCACTGCAGGGCTGTGCCACCACCCCAGGGACAGTGACAGTCACTGCAGGGCTGTGCCAGCACCCCAAACCTGCAGGGACAGTGACAGAACAGTGACAGTCACTGCAGGACAGTGACAGTCACTGCAGGGCTGTGCCACCACCCCAGGGACAGTGACAGTCACTGCAGGGCTGTGCCAGCACCCCAAACCTGCGGGGACAGTGGCAGTCACACCCCTGAGCTGGAAATGTGACCCTGGCCCATTCCTCCCACAGCATTTCTCACAGCTCTGTAATGGGAAAAGGCGAACTGAGGACATGGAATCTGTTTGGATTCTTTCTGGGGTTGTTTTTTCTGCTGTTTTGTTTTCCCCTAAGCCAAGCTGGTGGCAATTCTTTCTCTCTTCAGGGCTGGCTCCAACAAATGGAACACAGCATGATCCTGAATCTCATAAAATTTAAACATTCCTATCCTACCTTTCTTTGCTAGAAGTTTAACACATCTCCTCTTTGCAAGCCTTGTGGGACTCACAGGAGGTTGAGCCATCAAGGTTGCTGTTTGGCTTTCAGAAGTTTATAAAAGCCTTTTGAAAGGAGAAAAAACAACTCTTGGAGTCGTCCATGGCCCAGATGAGACGCTTCCATCTGCCTTTCAGGGACCCCAGGGAGGCTGAGGAGCAGAGCCATGCAGCAGCCCCATGGAATGGGCTCAGGGGTGTTTGCACAGGGTTTAAATATACTGATGTAATTATATAAATATACTGATGTAATTATATAAATATACTGATATAATTATGGTGTGAATGCCAAGGCTTCAGGAGAGAACAGGAGTTACCTCTGCCTACAGAGGTGGGGAGAACTGGGGGCACCAAACACCCAATCTGTGCAGCACTGATGGGATGAGTGTGCACGTGGCATTTCCCATTATAAACAGCCACCAACTCCTCCTCAGCTCTGCCTTCCCCATTCCTGTGGGGCAGACAGCCCTGCAGCTCAGGTACGCCTTCCATCCTCCTTCCACAGGCTCGCTGGAATTACCATGGGAGGAGGAAAAGCTCACACTGGAATTACCATGGGAGAGGGAAAGGCTCACACTGGAATTACCATGGGAGGAGGAAAAGCTCACACTGGAGTTACCATGGGAGAGGGAAAGGCTCACACTGGAATTACCATGGGAGGAGGAAAAGCTCACACTGGAATTACCATGGGAGGGGGAAATGCTCACACTGGAATTACCATGGGAGGAGGAAAGGCTCACACTGGAATTACCATGGGAGGAGGAAAGGCTCACACTGGAATTACCATGGGAGGGGGAAAGGCTCACACTGGAATTACCATGGGAGGAGGAAAGGCTCACACTGGAATTACCATGGGAGAGGGAAAGGCTCACACTGGAATTACCATGGGAGAAGGAAATGCTCACACTGGAGTTACCATGGGAGAGGGAAAGGCTCACACTGGAATTACCACGGGAGAAGGAAAGGCTCACACTGGAATTACCATGGGAGAGGGAAAAGCTCACACTGGAATTACCATGGGAGGGGGAAAGGCTCACACTGGAGTTACCATGAGAGAAGGAAAGGCTCACACTGGAATTACCATGGGAGAGGGAAAGGCTCACACTGGAATTACCACAGGAGAAGGAAAGGCTCACACTGGAATTATCATAGGAGAGGGAAAGGCTCACGCTGGAGTTACCATGAGAGAAGGAAAGGCTCACAGGAATTACCCTGAGATGAAGAAGGGCTCACAGCAATTACCGTGGCAGCAGGAATCAGCAGCAGCAGGGCCAGCTCAGGTGCTGGGCAGCAGCGGCTTTGGCACATCCAGGTCCTTGTCCCCGTCCTTGTCTCCATCCCCGCGGGTCTGGGGGCGCTGCCAGGGGCCGGGGGGGCCCTGCCCATGCCAGGGCAGCTGTGCAGAGGGGCTGCAGCACAGCAGGGCCAGCAGGCGCGCCCGCACCGCCCGGGTGCACAGCACGAACAGGATGCAGTTGGCTCCTCCTTGGAACGTGTTCCCGATGCCCTGCGAGGGCAGGGGCACAGCAATGACCAGGGCTGCTCCAGGGCACCCCAGAGAACAGCTCACCCCTGCCACAGCGGCTGCAGGGGCACAGCCACCGCCTCTGAGGACAAGGAACTCAGAGGAATTTGGGGTTTTTCCCAAAAACACCCAAAAGCAGAGCAGGGGCTGTTGCATGCTGGCACTGCTGTAGGGCAGGCGCAGGCTGAGCCCTGCTGGAGGACAGGCATCCAACATCCCCCTGTCCATCCCTGCCGGTGCAGCTTTCCTCTGCAGCCGCTAGATGCTGCTGCAGCAGCTCCTGCTGCATTGCTGCCTCTGCTGCAGCCCGGGCACGGCCTGGGGGCAGCAGCTGCTCCTGCAACACTCGGTGCCTCCGAGAGAAGCCGCACTGGGAGCTCCCACCCTGCCCTGCCCCAGCCCAGGGATGCACCAAATGTGCCCAGCCAGGTGCCCAGGTGTGCACCCACGCCTGCCCAGGGGTGCATCCCCAGCAAACACTCACATGCAGCACGACCAGGACGGGGTTCTGCACGGCGGGGGAGTCGCACAGGGTCAGCACGAAGCGCACCGTGCTCCAGATGCGGAGGAAGATGAAGATGAGGGGGATGAGGATGAGCTTCTTGTCCGCCAGGCTGGCGCGGGGCCGCAGGGCCGGGGCTGCGGGCAGGATGGGGCGGTACTCGGAGAGGGCAGCGTGCTGTGGGGACAGCGACAGGGACAGGGACAGGACAGGGGTGAGCAGGAGCCTGCGGACAGGGCACGGCCCCAGGGCCCTGCCCAGAGCCCAGGAACGCTCAGGAGGAGAGCAGGGCTGCAGTGAAGAGCGCACACTCTGCCTTTGGGGACAGTGACACTGCTGCTGAAGGCGAGCAGTGACAGCTCCCTGTGCTGCCCTGATCCCGAGGTGACAACGGGGCCAGCTGCCCCAGCACTGTCCCCAGCCCTGGGGAGGGACAGGAGGGACAGCAGCGTGCCCAGCACTGGGGAGGGACAGCAGTGTGCCCGGCCCCGCTCAGGGACAGCAGCGTGCCCAACCCTGTCCCCAGCCCTGTCCCCAGCCCCGCTCAGGGACAGCAGCGTGCCCAGCCCTGTTCAGGGACAGCAGCGTGCCCAACCCTGTCCCCAGCCCCGCTCAGGGACAGCAGCGTGCCCAGCCCTGTCCCCAGCCCTGTCCCCAGCCCCGCTCAGGGACAGCAGCGTGCCCAGCCCTGTCCCCAGCCCCGCTCAGGGACAGCAGCGTGCCCAGCCCTGTCCCCAGCCCTGTCCCCAGCCCTGTCCCCAGCCCCGCTCAGGGACAGCAGTGTGCCCAGCCCTGTCCCCAGCCCTGTCCCCAGCCCTGTCCCCAGCCCCGCTCAGGGACAGCAGTGTGCCCAGCCCTGTCCCCAGCCCTGTCCCCAGCCCTGTCCCCAGCAGTCCTGGCAGGGGCAGGAGCCCGCTCAGGTTTCCAGCGGGTCACGCTGCTGTCTGTGCCCAGCCTGGGACACCGTGTCCTGCCTGCTGCACGCCAGGTGATGCTGACAGGCACCAGCAAACCCTCCCCAGCTCTGCTCCCCTTCCCTTCCCACTCAGAGCTGCTGAAAATCGCCTCGTTCTCCCAAACCATCTGCAGCATCCTGCCCTAACCAGGGCTGGGCTCATCCCCACCACCACCACAAGCAGACACAGAATTTCCAGAAGGACACCCACCCACACGTGGGGCTTTCCCCCTAACCCAGCTGAGAGAAAGGGAATCTCTGGGTGCAGCTCCCTCTGCCACTCTCCTCTGGATCTGTGTGTAATGCAAATGCTGCCCTAGATGCCTGGATGCTGTGTTCTCAAGGAACAGAACAGCTGAATTCTGAATTCCAAACCCTGCCAGGACAGGGAGTCTCCTGTGTGGAGCCCAGAGCCATCCACTGCCTGGGCTCCCAAATGCAGCTTTGTTTGTGGATGTTATTTTGTACTGCAGCCCACAAACTACCGCTGCAGACACTGAAAGCACTGAGGCTTGAGAATTCCAACCTTGGTACAAGTGGAACCGCAGAAAACTGATTAAAGCTGAGTTTGTCCTTCACATTCTGTTTCAATTCTTACTGTAGCATTTCCCTCATGAGCATCCCACACCCCCTGCTCGTTTTCAAAGGGCTTTTGCATTCTTAGCTCGTGCTAAGTCTCTGTGTGATGGTGCTGCTGGATCAGGGACATCTCAGTGCTGTGAACCCCTCCTGCCTGGGCAAGGAGCAAGAAATGCAGAGTGTGGGGGGACAGAACCACCCAGCAAATACAGCTCTGTAATGTGCTTCCTGAGGAGAAATACTCACAGCCCTGTTAATGTGCTTCCTGATGAGGAGGTAGAGCACGGGCAGGGTGACGTAGGCCAGGATCTCCCAGAGCTTTCCTGCCAGCAGCATCCACAGCAGCCGGTCCTCGGCGTCCAGGTTGACCCAGCACCAGCCCACGGAGACGTTGGAGGCGTCGTAGCCGATCTTCCTGAGGGCCACGGCAGCCACGGTGATGGCCAGGGGGACACCCCAGCTGGGGGGACACGCAGACAGGGGGCTGAGCCGGGGGCGTCCCCAGACGAGCCCCCAGACCCCAGGAAATGGAGCCAGAGGCAGGGGCTGTCCCACAGACATGTGTTATGGAAAATCCTTTTCTCCTGAGAAGCTGGGAGGCCTCAGGAACAAAATGCAAACAATGGTTATCTGCTGCTGTGGGATGCAACAGGTGCATCTGGGATTGGTCTCATGTTGGATGTTTGTAATTAATGGCCAATCACAGCCAGCTGGCTCGGACTCTCAGTCCAAGCCACAAACCTTTATTACCATTCCTTCTTTTTCTATTCTTAGCCAGCCTTCTGATGAAATCCTTTCTTCTATTCTTTTAGTATAGTTTTAATGTAATATATATCATACAATACTAAATCAAGCCTTCTAAAACATGGAGTCAGATCCTCATCTCTTCCCTCATCCAAAAACCCCTGTGAACACGGTCACAGGCCAGGGCACTGTAAAATGTGATTTTCCTGCAGCCAGCTGATCCTGAGCTTTCGGAGAACAAGCAGCCAAGTCCCACCTTCCCATTCCCAAGTGAAATTCTGCACTCAAAGAAATCCACTTCATTCTGCCAGTGGTGTGTTTTCTTGCTTTGCTTTTAAGTGGAGATGTAGTCAGTATTTTGGGAGCAAAAATATGGTTTCTGAAGGATGAAGAGGCAGGAAAAGTACTGGGAGCAACAGCAAAAAGCTGAGAAAGCAAAGAGGAGCCACATCCTCAAAACTTGGAGCTGTGACTTTGGCTTCTCACTTGAAGGCAGAGGCAAATACAGGGAACCATTTAGAAGGAAAATAGCTGCGGTGACACACTGGAATGAAGTCACTCAGCAGCTTGGGCTGCCCACAAGAAACTGTGAGGAAGGGCAGAGGAATCCCAGCAGCCCAAACAGAAATTCCACCACAGGAGTGCCCTGCATCCATCTGAGTGTGTCACCTGAATCCATCTGAGTGTGCCCCCTGCACCCGGCCGAGTGTGTGACCTGCACCCAGCTGAGTGTGTCACCTGAATCCATCTGAGTGTGTCACCTGCATCCATCTGAGTGTGCCCCCTGCATCCAGCCGAGTGTGTGACCTGCATCCATCTGAGTGTGCCCCCTGCACCCAGCTGAGTGTGTCACCTGCATCCAGCCGAGTGTGCCCCCTGCACCCGGCCGAGTGTGTCACCTGCATCCAGGCGAGTGTGCCCCCTGCACCCGGCCGAGTGTGTCACCTGCATCCAAGTGTGCCCCCTGCACCCAGCTGAGTGTGTCACCTGCATCCGGCCGAGTGTGCCCCCTGCACCCAGCTGAGTGTGTCACCTGAATCCGAGTGTGCCCCCTGCACCCAGCTGAGTGTGTCACCTGCATCCGAGTGTGCCCCCTGCACCCAGCTGAGTGTGTCACCTGAATCCGAGTGTGCCCCCTGCATCCAGCTGACTGCGTCACCTGCATCCGAGTGTGTCACCTGCATCCAGCTGTGTCCCCAGGGCCACCCCAGCTTCCAGCACTGCCCTCCTCTCTCCCAGGTGCACAGAAAACAACCCCATGACTGCCTTCCTCTGACAGCCTGGAGCAGCTGCAGGGAGCATGGGGAGGATCTGGCCCCCAAAAATCAGATTCCAGACCAGGTGGGCAAGGAGCAGCTGCCTTGACCAGATTATCTGAAACTCCAACTGCAGCACCAGAGATAATCCTGTGGTATTAGATTTCAAAAATGCCCCATTTCCTACTCTGAAATAATGTCTGGATTCACCTACTGACAAAACAAGCAAATATAAATATAAGGCTGTAAAAACCTTCAGAGTCAACTGTGCAGCCCGTGTGGAACATTTTGTCTCAGGCTCAGCTCAGAACAGGCAGTGCTATTCCAAGCCAGGGCTGTTATTTAAGGACAGGGGTGCTGCAGGAAGCCCTCCCCACTCTGTTATCAGAGCAGGCTTCTAAAAACATCCCAAACGTCACCACCACCACCAGGAAAGTTTCCACACAGCCCAGGAGCCCTTTTGGTGAAACTGGGGATTTCTCAGAAAACAACTGCAAATGCAAAGACATTCCACTCTCAGTACTGCTGCACTAAGGTAAAGAATTAAAGAGAAATGGCACTTCCTAAAAGAAACCAGGGAAAGGCACAAAGGCAGCAAGAAAAAGGAAGTGAATGGAGAAACTAATTTTACATGGTTTTACAAATAATGATCTCATCAGTGAGCTGAAACTGCAAAAGAATGATGATAAACCAGGTGAAATGATGGAGTGTGGATGTAGGACGGGACGGGGTAAGCACAGACACAGAGGAAACAACTCACCACTAGAAAGGGACTCAAAACCTTCAGGAGAAAACTGGGGAGAGGAAGAATAAAACTGCTGCATTAACAGGAGTTAATTTCGCTGGAATATTCTGGGATCAGATGGACATTTACCACCGACACCAGGCAGAAGGATTACCAACAGAGGGAAATCAGAGGGGAGCTAGGAAGGAATCAGACATTTCTGTGAATTCAGCTCCATGTCAGCAGCTGGAAAGGAGAACTGAGAGTGGAGGTTCAGTGGTTCTCAGGAGCTCCACAGATTCAGGAGGGCTGCCAAATGTCAGAGCTTTCCCTGAGCTGGGAGGGCAGGAACTGAACCAGGACAGATCATCACCCACGGTGCGGGTGAGCACTGGAATAAAAGGGATCCCAGATAACAGAGAGCAGAAATATCCCCTAAATCCCAAAGAACAGTTCTGTGGCTGGGCCTCTCCACAGCACACCTGGCTGCAAACACTGGGAGAGAAGGGAAGGTGACTCCCCACTCCTGTACAAAGCTGGAAACCCAACCTGCAAGGCAGACACAGCAGCACTTATTCCTCTAACACAGCTCCTGGTGATCTGTGAATAAAAAAATCCTCCAACCCAGCAGATCTCTGCACAGCCGCACCAAAGCAAGGCAAGGGGAGGCCCCTTCAGCTCAGGCAGCGTTCAGCTGGACTTGCCCTGGTTCTCCGGGGTCAGATTGCCCAATAAGCACATTTTGATTTGTGCTGCACTGCTTTCACCCCTGAGGGCTCTGACAAGCAGGTGAGCTGCTGTCACCTGCCTGCACAGGTTAGCCAAGGAGCCATCCTGCCTGCAGGCAGCTCCTTCTGGGACAGGGATTCGTGAGGAGGGAAAAATCCTGGACATCCCAGGCAGTCCAGGAGGAACATCTATTCATGTTATATATTAAAATATATGTTTTATATATATTATATATATATATAAAACATATATTTTTATATATAACATTAATAGATATATATAAAACATATATTTTAATATATAACATGAATAGATATGCATTATAGATAGAATAGATATAATGATACATAGTTATAGATATATTTATACATAGTTATAAATGTATATATATATTAAAAACATATTTTAATATATAACATGAATATATATACACACATTTATAACCATGCATATATATATATACACACATTTATAACCATGCATATATATGTATTTAATATATTTTAATATATAAGCATGCATATGTTATAGATTTTTAAAAGTAATATATTTGTGGTTATAATGATCTGCACAGCCTGATCATGAAATGAAAACCCTTCAAAACATTGTCAGCAACTGGCACCAAAAGCCAAGCAGAAACAACCCCAAGGTGGGCTCTGCCTGCTCCATTCCTCACCCCGAGTTTGGATGAACTCCTCTCCCAACAAAGGTGATGTTTTCCAGCAGGTGATTCCTGACCCCGGGGAATCCACAGCAGTGAGGCAGCCTGGCCACTGGCACGGCCAGAACTGACATTCTGCAGCTGCCCAAGGGCTGCCAAAGCTGGCTGCAGGCTTGTTCTCAAAGCCCAGCAGGTGTAGAACCACAGCAGAGGCGCAGCTCTGCAGGCTGGCATCGGTGGATGTGCTCCCACAGGAATCCCTGTGGCACAAACCTGCCTGACGGGTCTGAGCCGCCGTGACACCCTGATTCCCTCAGGAAAATTCCAGGTTCTGACCTCCAACGTGTACTTAGCCAGCTCCATCCCCCAGGATTATATTCAGAATTTAATTTCTCAGGTAGCTACAAAGGCGCAGGGAAGGAAGGCAGGGTGATGTGTCACGAGGGGATGGGCACAGAACACGTCCTCACTTGTTGTCTCTGGCTTGTCAGACACATCATAAAGCAGAAACACCTTTAAACACTGGCTCTGCACAGAACAGGCATTTACAAAGCAGAACCTGATCACAGGTGCTCAACAGCCTTTAAACAGAGCAGATGGTGCTGATCAATAGCAAGGACTGAAGATGACATTTCATTTTCATTGTAAAGAACTGAAAATAAACTGAACAAATCCCCCCAGAGCATCTCTCCCTCTGTGCCAGGGGTAGAGCAGTCTCCCTCACAGGATTTTTAGTTTTCTGGGAGTGCACAGACTGCAGCCAGCTCTGTTTCAGTGCCTCTGCTTCTCTCCACACTCCATAGCTGACAAGGCTGAGGAGCATTAAACCAGATGGAGAAACTGAAGCACAGACAAAAGCCACACAGGCAATTAGCAGACAGGAAAATTACAACGAGGCCAGATTTGCCTGAGCCCTTTGATGTGCCTGGTGGAGCCAGGATGCCCAGGAAGGAGCCAGACTTGGGTTTTACATCCATTTAGCAACACGTGGCTCTTGAGCAGCACCCCATCCTCACCACAGCTCTCAGAGTGCAACTCTCCTCTGCTGCAGATGGGATAACATCATTATTAATTCTCATTATTAATTCTCCTGCAGGGCACCCTCCCCAGCTCCAGCAGCAGCCTGGGGTGCCCAGGGCCCTGTGCAGCCCCCCAGCCCCTCACCAGCAGCAATCCCAGGGCTGAAATTCCCCCCTGGCTCAGCCTCAGCCTCAAAGCCTCCCTGCCCATCCTCACCTGGACTCAGCTCTGCTCTTTGAAACTAAAAGGTGTCAAATATTTGACTAAGAAACCAAAGAAAATTCTCTACTTGTCCTGAGGGCTTTTTATTTTATTTATTCCCTTTTAAAGCAGATCACTGCTCTTATAATTTATTGCAGGAGCTTGGCAGCACGGGGGACTAAGGGATCACTGTTTTGCTCAGCGTGGACACAGCACATGATTCCACAAGCTCCAATTGCATAATGAAAGCTTTTACTAAACATGATGTGGAAAACCAGTGCCCTAAATAGCAGAAACTGAGACGTAAAGCTACGCTGTGGACTGGTTTGTCTTGCTTTCAATCAAACATGCCAAAACAACCTTCAGAGCGCTTCCCCGGCAGTTTCACCACACGTGAGGAACATTTTCCTGTGAGTGTGGGATTACAGCAACCTGCCTGGGCAGAGGGGAGGATCCACACCCCGGGCTGACAGGGGAGCTGGGGACCTGTGCAAACAGATCCCAAACACAGAAGCTCGGGCAGCAGCAGGCAGCTATCACAGACACAGGGTTTGTTATGTTATTTCTACAACATCACAGCAGACTGCAGGGAAAGCAAAGCCAGGATTTCCAGCCATTAGAACTTGCCAGAGATTTTCCTAAGTGACCTTGAACAAAAAAAACACTCCAGCTTTTCCACGTCTCCAGCTGCTCACTTGGGAAGGGAAAGGGGGAACAAGCAGGGTCGGTTAGTTAAAAGGCACCAAAAGGAATTTCAAGAGGAATCTGAGGGGAAGAGGAGGAGAAGGAAAGCACAGAGAGCCAGGGGACACCCAGCACAGCACACAGCACCCACCTGACGGCGTGGAAGCCCCAGAGCAAGCCCCGGCCCGCGGGGGAGCCCCTGACGATGCTCAGGTACAGGTAGAGCGCGATGGCCATGGTCCAGAAGAAGGAGCTGGTGTTGGCGAAGGTGGACAGGGCTCCCTGCAGGACGCAGTCCCACGAGGTGCCCTGGAAGTCCCTGAGCACGCCGTAGAAGTAGGAGAGGGCGGAGAGCAGGTCGGCCAGGCTCAGGTGCAGCAGCAGCTGCCGCGGGCGCGTCCGCAGCTCGGGCCAGAGCGCCTGGGAGCAGAGCAGGAGCGCGGAGCCCGCGCAGGACAGCGAGCACGACAGCAGCACCGGGACCCGCTCCGCCAGCGGCACCCGCGTGGGCGGCAGCGGGGACGGCATGGCCGGGACGGCGGGGACAGAGCGGGGAGACGGGAGGGACAGCGGGGACAGAGGATAGGAGCGAGGGGACAGGGGGATGGAGAGGGATGGAGCGGGGGGAGAGCGGGGACAGAGCGGACAGCGAGGGGACAGAGGCGAGGAGCAGGGAGACAGCGGGGACAGTGCGAGGGGACACCGGGTTTCAGTCCGATGCAGCCCCGCGGGTCGGGCGCGCTCTGCCGGAGGGTCCGGTCCGGCCCGGCCGCAGCGCTGTGTCCGCGGTGCCCGGAGCCGGCACCGGCCGGGGAGGCAGCGCTGTGTCCGCGGTGCCCGGAGCGCTCTCCCGGAGCCGGCACCGGCCGGGAGGGCGGCGCGGCAGCGGCAGGAGAGCCCCGGGAGCGGCGGGACCCGGCCCGCCCCCGCCGTCATGTGAGAGCGGCCCGGCCCCCTCGGAGCCGAGGGAATCCCCGCCGGGACCGGGACAAGGAGCGGGAGCGGGACAGGGATCGGGACGGGAACCGGGACAAAGACTGGAACAAGGACCGAGAACAGGACCGGGACTGGATCGGGACAAGGACCGGGATCGGAATAACGACGGGGACGGGGATCGGGACAAGGATCGGGAGCCGCTCCCGCCGGGGCGCACGGAGCGCACCCACCGCAGCCCCGCAGCGCAGAAAACCCTTTTTCCCTTTTCCCCCCTTTTTTCTTTCAATCAAAACTCCCGCCCCGGCCCCCGGGAGCACAAGGAACAAAGCCCCGGGTTGCTGCTGTCCCCTTCCTTTGCCACGGACACCTCCTGCCCAAGGACAGCGCGCAGCTCTCCCTGCTGAGCCGGAGCCACCGGGGTTTATTCACTGATTTACACACAAACTGCTGCCTTTGGAAACAAGATCTTATTCCAACGTACCTTAATTACCACTCGGTTAAACTTCAGTCAAGCCGCCTTTACTCTTTTAGGAATTTATTTCGGAGCGTGATGCCCCCTGCATGTTCCTTATAGAAAAAGGAAGCTGCAGCAGTTTGCGTTTGCCCTGCACACAATCTGACGCCAACAGCTCTTTTAACTTTATCACTATTGCAGCCTTTCTTTAGCAACCATCTGACCCCTCAGAAAAAAACCCCACAAAGCCTTGTCAGGGCTGCATTCCCAGTTGTTGCTCTCACACATTCTTGGCTTCCTCCTCGTTTCCCTTTTCCCCACTTTTGTAGCACAAGCCCAACCTACCACAGACATCCAGACAAACCACATCAGCAAACACCCTGCCTGGAGAGTGCTGCTTTTATTTTGGGTGATGGATGAGGCTCCACAACGCAGCTCAATTAAGTCTTGCCAGACAGAGAACCAAGATAAATCCAGAACTTGCGTTTCCACCGACTTGTGGCTGTGATTCGGATATTCTAAAAAATTCTTTAAAAAGTGGCTCGTCAGGGCATCATAAACCGTTGAACTAAAACCCAGAGAAATGGATTTTTGCCTTAACAATCAGAAACAGGACAGACAGAGGATTTTCTGATGGGTCTCTCCCTGTTCTCTAAAAGAGGAGTATGGGGAGTTTGCACACAGAAGTCACCACTCAGCAGCAGGCCATACTCAGAGTTTGTGCTTCAAAACGGAGTGACAAAAGGCAAAGAACTCTCACTAAAGGCCCCCATCACCTCCCGTTCCCTCAGCACCTCCACATGCAGCATCTCTGGCACTCCTGCCCCCGATGCTGTCCCCTCCTTGCTCCCTGCAGGGCAGGGCAGCAGCTGCCTCTGCCCGAGCAGATCCTCCTGTCAATTCCTCCTCCAGCCCCGAGGAATCTGCAGCTGCCCAGGGAACAGGAGTATCTGGGAAGGGCCCAGGGACACATCTCAGTTCAAAGGCAGCATTGTCTACAGCTCGGGAACAAAAAAATCCGAGGAAGTGGTTTGTCACACAGCAACGCACACAATGAAAATTCTCCTTTCGGAATTTCACCTCCATTTGCTTTTTACAGCACAGGGAGATGAAGCAACATGGTATTTGGTGAAAAGACGCAGAAAATCTTTTTTAATGACTGGAATTTACCCCACCAACTACTAAAGGAGCTTTCTGACACACAGGCTGCACTCTGCATCTTATAAAGCACTGGGTGAGCTGTAACTACATAAATTTACCCCCTCTGTGAGGCAGAATGTACTGATATAACCTTTTAATTTATTTTTTTTAACAAGTTTTTACTTTGCAGCTGGGTAGGAAGCTGGGCTGAGGCAGAGTTCTCCATTAACTGGGAACCTGGTCATATGCATTCGGGCTTTTAAATGAAAATTTAAAAATGCTGAGAGCCCACAGCACCTCTGCACATCAGCACAGCATCCCCAGTGTCCCCAGGCAGCCCAGCCCCAGCAGAGGTCACTGCTGGCACAGGCATTGCTGTCCCATCCCCAGCCCACGAGCCACAGACATCCTTTCACTAAAAATCCTCTCTTGGGATTTTTTCCTTCTGAGGAGAAGGAAAACAAAATGTAAATAGTTATCCGCTGCTGTCGAATGCATCGGGTGTGTCCGTGATTGGGCCATCAAAAAGTGTCTCAGGCTGCAGAGGTGGCACAGGAATTCCAGCCAGCAGCCCTCAGAAGAAAAGCCACCAGCAATGAGATTTTTTTTTTTTTTTTGCAGGCAGAATGTAATTAGTGGCACTGCTGGAACCCAGCCAGCAGCAATCAATGGATTAAAGGATGCTCAGAGTGTTGTGGTAGTCATTAATTTCAAGTTCAAATTAGGGGGATTAATATGGGATATTCCTTCACTCTGCGGCTGTGTGGAGAAAAATTAAGATATTAATATTGTGCATTCCACAACGAAACAGAGCATGCCACCAACAAACACCAAAAAAACCACCAAAACCAACAAAAGTGACATTTAGGAGCTGGCCATGCATGGAGGGAGGGGTGGCACCTTGGGAGGGGGCACTGGAAAGGGAATTCACACAGAATGCAGAGGAAAGGGAATTCACTCAGAATGCAGAGGCTGCCCCTGCACTGATCTTTGTGCCATTTTCAGTGATATTTCTCCAATATTCTCATTATCTATAACAGCAAGGTATGGACTGCACCTCTTCTATTCAGTAGTTAGAAAACAGGCCAAATGTTAGGAATTTTGGGGTGCAGCTTTTAGTGCCAACCCAACCCCCTGTGCCAGGGACGGGGCTGCCCACAGGTGTGGTTTCAGCACAGGTGAGACAGAAAAGCTGAGAACGAGAGCCAAAGGGTGGAGAAAGGTCATGATAAACCACTCCAGGTGTTTCATGCAAGGGGTTTGGAACAGAAAAAGGGCAGGGCAGCAAAAGGAGAGCTCTGCACAGGAAAGGTGCAGCAAAAGGAGAGCTCTGCACAGGAAAGGTGCAGCAAAAGGAGAGCTCTGCACAGGAAGGGTGCAGCAAAAGGAGAGCTCTGCACAGGAAAGGTGCAGCAAAAGGAGAGCTCTGCACAGGAAGGGTGCAGCAAAAGGAGAGCTCTGCACAGGAAGGGTGCAGCAAAAGGAGAGCCCTGATGCAGGGAAAGGTGCAGCAAAAGGAGAGCTCTGCACAGGAAAGGTGCAGCAGAGCCCTCCAGAGGCGCTGGGGAAGGACAAATAAAGATCAAAACTTGCAGTTCATCTTCTCCTGCTCCTCCTCTCCCTTGTGGGGCACTGGCATCCCGTGGCACCGCTGCAGCTCCTGCCCAAGCCCAACAATGTGCAGCACTTCTAGGGCAGTATACTTGCTGATTGCTTCCTCGACTATTGCTCACAACAACCAGCTAAGACACTGCCAAAGAAACACTCACAGCTGGCACCAGGGAGCTGGGGCAGGGGCGAATGCTCCTCTCTTCTCACTCACACAGGGCCAGGGGCTGGGGACAAGCACACAGTCAGGGGAGCAGCGCTGAAGGAAAAGCTTTAAAGGGAGAAGAAACTCATAAATCAACCGTTGTCCTGTCCCTCACCCCCAAACCTTGGTTAGGGCCTCTAAAAATGACCAATATTAACGAGATAATCGCAGCTGGCTCGTCTGTAATCTGTATTTGTCTCAATGAGCTCCCCCAGGTCTCCCACACCACCATTCAGGCAAGACAGTGGAACAATAAAGTATTTCCAAATGCTGAATAACAGTTCAAGATATACAAACCTGTTTGGAGTGTTGGAGTGCTCCGTGCACGGCACAGGGGGCACAGAAAGAGAATTCAGTGGGGCACCGAGGAGAGAGGCACCAACGCTCACCTGTCCAGGGCACTTTGAGTCACACACTGCACAAGCTCTGGGTGATCCAGCGTTCCTCAGCTCCTGGAAGCACAGGACCATGTGAGAAGACAGCCTGCAGGACAGAGGAGCTGCCTCCCCTCTCCCCACAGGCTCAGGAGCAGCGAGGGATTGCCCAAGGGCCTCTTGTGCAACACCTGAGAGCAAAGGTGCTGCTCAGGAGCAGCCCCAGCACACCTCACCTGGGATCCTCGGGCTGCGCAGCCTCCATCCCCCTCCCAGAGCACCCAGTTCCAAACTCCAAAGGCTCCAGAGTCTGCTCTGTGTGCAGACAGCAAGGCAGAGGGAGCTGGGACTCTGGGCTCTGCTTTGCTCTCAGTGAAATTCAATTTCCTCTGCACCAGGGTATCAAACCCTGCCATCCTCAGGGCTGAGCACCCAGGCTGCAGGGCAGGTGTCAAACCCCACATCCTGGCTCTCCCCAGCACAGGTAGGATCTGGGAGCAGGCGTTTCTACAGAGATTAAAGACAGAGCTGGTGTGTCGCAGACATCTCTTTGTGAAAATCTCTGTGCCAGTGGCCACGAGAGCACCTCTGTGCCACCCAGAATGTGTTTCACATGCCCAGAATGTGTTTCACACCTTGGTGCACGATCCCTTCCCTTTACACCACTCCCACCCAGGCTCTCAGCCAGCTCAGATAAAACACACTGAGCTCAAAGGTTCCAGCAGGAGCCAAAATGTTCTGCCAGAGCTGCCCTGTGCTCCCCTGTCAGGCACCACACACACCAGTGCTGCCCACACTGCCCTGTTGAGGG